GCAGAGGTGTGGACTCGAGTCACATGACTTGGACTCGAGTCGGACTCGAGTCATTAATTTGATGACTTTAGACTCGACTTGAAAAAATGTAAAAAGACTTGCAACTCGACTTGGACTTTAACACCAATGACTTGTGACTTCACTCGGACTTGAGCCCTTTGACTTGAAAAGACTTGATACAAACCCAAATATTAAAACATTTTTAAATGCGTGCACTAATCCATTCATTTCACTCCTCCCCCTCTCTCTCTGCACCTGTGTGTATGTATGTGTGACCTGTCAGCACAGTAGCCAATCAAATGAATCTAGGAAGGTAAACAAAGTAGCACTCTGCAACTATGGTACAAAAGATAATTTCATTCGGGTACAAAAACTATGAAGTGGTCAACAAAAAACGAATTGCAGTATGCAGAACATGTGGGTCGAAGATTACGGACCGAGACGCAACAACTTCCAACTTCGTTCGACATTTGAAGTTGCACAAAGAACGGTAAGTAGAGCTCATGAGCTAATGCTAAGCTAACTTTAGCTTGTCAGGAAACGTGCTACAGCCACGCTCATGGCATGCCATCCAGTTTGTATGTATTGAGTCCAGTAGTCAACTCATCCAAGATTTATAATCAACAAGTCGTCTATTAGCTCACTATCTGTCACTGACGCATGGTGAGGACTAATGTAACTTTGATGCTGTTCCTGAAATAAATTATATTAGTAATAACATGCACGCACACAGTATTAATAGAAATGCTCAATATTACAATTTATGTATTAACATGGGCAACATAGCATAATTTGCTAAATGCAATTCATGTTTAACTACATGGAATTTTCTGACATGTGCTAATATGATTACATCTTACAGATTTGAAGAATACCAGATGAACAAAAGCATCACAAATGAACCAGAACAGCCTTCAATCTCACAATTTCTGGACCTTTAGTTTATTCTGTGAAGTAATAAGTTCAGGAACAATCTTCCTCCAAATATGTTATATGGAATTGGTTACTAGTGCAATATAGATTTACAGTATTAGCACTAGTTTTGTAAGTTTTGTTTGTTTCATCAAATGTCTTGATAAATAAATGCAGAATTTAGATATATACATGATCGAAATTCAAATTCAAAGTTTAGGACTTTGGACTCGACTTGGGACTCGTCAGTCTTGACTTTGGACTCGACTTGGGACTCGCCAGTCTTGACTTGGGACTTGACTTGGGACTTGGAGACAACGACTTGTGACTGACTTATGACTTGCCAAACAATGACTTGGTCCCACCTCTGGTGTATCCCATTTTGACTTTGGGACTTCCAGCCTGTACTCGGCACAGATGTTTCTGTACACTATGCCAGCCACTTGGTTATGGCGCTCCATGTATGCCCTGCCTGCTAGCATCTTGCACCCCCCTGTTATGTGCTAGATTGTCTCAGGGGCATCTTTGCACAGCCTGCACATGGGGGCCTTTCTGGTATGGTAGACCCCTGCCTCTGTTGATCTTGTACTTAGAGCCTGTTCCTGTGCTGCCAGGATTTGTGCCTCTGTGCTGTATTTCAGTCCAGCTTTGTCCAGCCACTGGTAGGATTTTTCCTATATATACTGTATATATAATAGGTCCACCAGGCGACGGTTTTGAAATTTGGTATTCTCCAGATGGAGTCTGAGTTTGCCCTCGCAGTAAGAAACCAGACAGGTCACAGAGGATTTTAGGGCCTTGCTGGGGCTGGCAATTCAGGAGTCACACAACAATCTCTTGGTAGTAGTATGCTGGATGCTAGGATTCTCCACTTCTTCCTTTATGTGGCCCTAGTGTTGAGTCACTGTTAAACTCTCCTCTGTGTTACCACTGATATTTGCCATGTTTCAGAGTGTTCATATAGTCACCTTTAACCTTGTGCTGCTTTATCCTGCCTTTTCTGAGATCTGAAGATCCTCAAAGTACATAAAGACCTTTTTTGAAAGTTACACTTACGCCATACAATCATATGAGCATCCTCTCATTTATTTTGTCCAAGCTAATCACCTGGAAAAGTTGTGATTTAAGGATTATTTTAAAACAACATGGCTCCTGAAAAAGACAGGTATTATTTGCAAATAATGCTCTAACTAACATTCTCTCAAATTTCTTTTTTGCTGGGACATTTCATGCAGACAATGATATGATTGAGTCTGATAGTGTTTCCATTTGATACACATAGTGTCTGAGGAAAGGAAGTTCCAGACAGTGCTAGTTACACAGAGAACAACTTCCTGACTTCTTGTCACGTAGTCCCAAGAAAATAATGTGGCCTGTGTTTGATTTAAGCACCATGAAGATTAGCTTCAGCTGAAGACGCCAAAGCAAATATCTTCCTCTCTCTTTCTCACACACATCCACACACACACACACACACACACACACACACACACACACAAGTCTTAGAAAAAGCTAAAATGATGCCTTTGTTCACAGGATATTCACTGATCTGTAAGAACTGTATAATAAAACAAAACTATGTATCTAACCAGCCCATATTAGTTACACAGTACACTACAGTGCATACAGTAAGTGAATGTACAAGTTTGGTGCACTAATGAGTATTTACTTTATACCAGAGCTTTTAAAATACTGAGGCCATATTTTCCCATCAGAATCCATCTAAATTTTAACTAGCTCTCATATGCGTATCTTACAGTATACTTTACATATCTGCAACCTGAGCTACTCTGCACCTCAAACATAGCCAAGATAATGCACTAAGGACAGCAAATAAATGGATAGATCAGTTAAGTAAATTACACCATAAAAACATTTGTACTTTTTAATATAAAATCCACCTGAAATGTCAAAAAGTTGAGACAGTGAACATTTACATATGCTACTGTGCAGATATACAACATTTAAAAAAGAACTACTGATATACTAAATGAACTACTGGGATATATGGAAGACAGTCACACTGTCAAGACTGACATGAGTGTTTATAAAGCTCCTTGAATGAACATGAAAAGTCTAAAACTGCAACATGTTATATTGTGTATTATAAAATGATTTAAATATATCACTTTTACATGGTTTACATGTAAACAGAAACAGAACAGAACAGCAATGTCAAGGAACAATTGGCCTGTATTGCCACTGAGCCACACTCGGACTGACATGGCTTGATGTATGTAAACATGCACTGGTAATGGTAACTTAAGGAAACAGTTAAGTGTTTCTGAGTGAAATTGTTTCTCAAAATGTTACTACTGAAAGAGTTAGTAATATAGTTAGAGTGAAGTTCATGTCAATGGTAAAAAGACAAATGTAAGGTACAGGCACAAGCAGTGCAGGCACATGAGGTGGTAGGATTTACCCCACAGGGGCAAACACTTCAGGGACACAGACCCCACTATCAACTCTTTGTTAACTACATGGCATACAATGACACTGAGTAGCACCGCAGTCTGATAAGATGATAAAGCAAGCAGTGCTGGGGACTTCAACCAACCAACATACAGAGATATGTTCAGCTTCCCTGCTGAGACTAACAAGACAGTGTACAGTAAAAGAATCCTGTTAAGAAGTTATTCCACATCCATCTCTTCTTGCTTGAAATGTGCTTTACAGAGACATAACA